GAACGAATACGAAAGGACAGAAATGTTACGGGTGTAGATGGGAGAGATTCTATATGCAAATAAAGTCTGAACTATATTAAAGATATGGCTAACAAAATGTTTATCACTGAAACAACTGACAAATCTTTTTTGGAAATAAATGCATTTCGTCTATGAACAAAACTAATAGAAATATAAGGACATACTATAAAAGTAAATTTTAATCTTGTTAATGATACGTATATAGTAAAGACAGTTTGAAGCCTAATAAATATTACATGTACAAGTAGTGTTTTATTTGATCTTTGATGAATTCATAAATTCATTTATTAAACTCTATGTAAATTCAATCAATTCATAGCTACAATGTACACGAAAATTGCTGTCATCACCGAATCTTTTTGGTAAAGTGACATTAAAAAATCAATGTTGGCAAGTTCTTTTACTTAAAATCTCCGTATCAGAGTAGAGTGATCAGAGTAGAGTGAAGCCACCGCGCATTAAAGGTCAATTAACGCTTGGCGAGCACTTAATTGCGACCACGCTCACCTTCGATCTTTATCTCAGCGAGCTAGGGTTAGGTTCTTTTGTTAGCAGAAAGTTTGTCACGATAATTGCCCGACGGGCAGGGTATGGAACTATTGTTAACAGAAACCAAACAGCGTATGGATGACAATGTTATTTCCATAGTAACCGAGCCAGGCCGTCCGTACAACCCGCAGCGACCCGGAGGGTAAGTAAGGGGAGATTCCGGCGGCACTGTATAGGCTACATGTATGTATATGTATGTTATTATTATAATCATAATTATTATTCAGAGATTCTCAATATATACCCCAGCAGGTTCATTTAAAAAACCAGAAAATGAAGTTAAAGACATATTTGCGAATTCTACTTTTTCTAAAACTCTAGTGACAGAAAGTGATAAATCTAGCTTTTTGTGCACGACATGCAAACATTCTCCGTTTCATGCCTTGTTGGTATGCACAGTTTTCGTATTCGGTAAAGAAGGTTTGAGTAACCAAAGTTTTAAATATAGCAACCCTTTCAGTTAACATTTGCACGTTTTTAACACTTACAAAAATTAGACTGCGCTAAAGGGATGTTACGAAATGCACGTTTATTGAACGGATATATAGTCCATAAGGTCTGGCCGGGAAATACGTTTAGAAATGAGCACGCTATTCCATTTTTTTTTTTTTTTTTTTTTTTTTTGGTGAGTGTAAAAATATTATTTGGAGTGTTATACACCCCAAATGTCCCAAAGTAATTACTTTTCGATCCACTAACTTCATATTCCTTGCTAATATGCCATGATTTGAACATCTAGACTGGAAAAATTTCTCCATTAACGTGGCGAGTTGGCAAGGTTAGAAAGTATAAATTGTTTCCCAAAGGACAAAAAGTTGTGCTTTTTATTATGCTACTGACTACTTGCGAAAAATTGGCACATTTAGCGTGGTTAGCCGTCTTCAATATTTATTATTTTAGACTTTTTAAACAAAATCTATAAACATAAATAACAATGCCAATTATGAAAATAGTTTGAATCTATATTATAGACTAACATTTTGTCCTCAACTTCGAGTAAATATTTTCACAATGATGGGTAACGAAGATTTTAAAAATTATTTTCTAAGAAAACGCAGTTTTGTCGTGTTTCGTGTAAAACATCATCAGTGTTCTCTGATAATGCATCGTCTAGTTAATCATGAATGCAACTGAATTGAAGATTTAATTAATGTTTAATTAATGTAAAGCTAAATGTACCTATATATTGAGAATCATTATTATTATTATTATGTTAAAATTTTAATACCACAAAAAGACCAATACTCACAATCACCAAAAAGGTGCATAATGCCAACACCATCTAGTTAACTAAACCAACACCATAGAAATGATCTTTGAATATAACCCATGTAAATATCTGTTTGTAAATTGTTAATGTAGTTTTTTAGGTAGATACAATAGTTTAAATACATATGCCATAGTCACTGAAAAAATGTTTATTTATTCTCGAACGAGAATAAATAAACAAACGAGCAAATAAACAAACAAACAAACAAATAAATAGAAAAATCAAAACATGGACAAGTGAAATATATATAATTACATACCTTGAGCCTGGGTATTGCCCAGCAGTTGAACGAATACAAAGCCCAAAATCAAGACGCTTTGAAGTGAAGGTCCCATGATCGTACTTGGTTTCAGTGCTGCACCAGATACATAAAAAAGATAAACCAGGCCCTCTATGAAGGTTTATTAAAATTAATACATCATAGGATATGGTGGATATCGACAATAAATTAATCGAAAATTGTTGCATGAAGGCATGCATAGAGAGAATGATGAATAAAGATACCTGAACCTGTACAGCGGCAAACTCTTGTGTCTTAATTTCAAATTTGCTGATTGTGTTATAAAACAGTTATAGACTTTGTGGTTCGGTCACCCAACGGCGATATTCGACCCTCAGCTGAAATAATTGACCGACGCCTTCGGCCTTCGGCGTCAGTCGAATATCGCCGTTGGGCAACCTCCATCAAATTCAATAATTGTATAATATTTATAAAATGTCAACAGTAAAGGTTTCAAGCACAAACCTTGCAGTTGAACTTAGCACACATACCTGCAAATGTTTACAATATTTCAGCCTCGGAGATTCGTCCCAATGTGCAGTTTTCTAATCAGTTTTCTCTTTCGTTACCTTCGCAGCGTGCTAATTTGCGTGACACGCGCTGCACCAGCTGCGTCATATTTTATTTAAACTCAGGATCCCTTCATTGCTTTCCTACTGCGCCTACGATCTCGCTTGCCATATAGAAATGTTAAATAATTCACTTATTTCAACTTGGCGCCGCTGAGATATCATAGAGGCGATGGTCTATGCGAAGAACTAGTTTAAGGAAATACATTTAGGGACTTACAGTCTGGTTAATTTTTTATTACATAAACCAATTTACAGGTCAAGGCCATCCTCAGCTTCATTGACAGCATAAAGACTCAAAAATTTTAACATGATTAAACTTATTTCAGACTCCACGGTCCATGAATGGTGTTTTCGGTACTAGACCGACAATAAATGAATAAATTTGAGTTGAAGAGAGTTTGGTCGTAGTGGTCAAAGGAACCAGTATTTTGCAGGTTTCAAAATTTTCTGGGAATTTTCCTTAATGCACCATATTCAACAATTTTCCTTAATGCACCATATTCAACAATAAATAAAACTACGATCCATAAACACTTTTTTGTTTGAAGAATGTTTAGTCTAGATTATTGTCCATGTCTAAAGTCACTCTGATAATTGCTTGGTGATGGAATCTGATGAATTTCGCATGCCTTATTTAACCCGTTTTCCGCTTTCTTTTGAATGGCTAAACTCAATCGAAACAGTCGGATAGGCCTTTTTGTGCAACCATGTTTAACCCAGATAAATAATAAAACAAAAATATTAACAACCCCCTATATCACACGGATCCTTATATACTCCGATTGGTGGTAATATTCTGGTATAATATTAGAGTCAAAAGATATCAAAATTGGCAAAAAGGATAGGGAACCCCCCTTTTTTGGAATGCATTTCAAGGACATAAGAGCCGTACTTTTAAACCTGTTGTCAGGCCTTTTGTTCTTCCATAGGATGAATAACAACCTAAGCCTAAATACGCCTCGGATCATTTTTGAGTAGAGAAACCGTTTGCGAATGGCCCGTAAGCTCCACAGTCTGTAACAGACAATGTGGGATACCAAGTGGACTTCACAAATTGAAGTTTGGGGGACTTTCTTTGGATAGTTGATACAACGTGAACGGCGTGATACATGGACAATGTAACCCACTGTAGTACCACCTTATTGGTGATAGCAAAACACATTTATGATATTTTTTCAGTATTTTTATTATTTTTCCATGCCCCCCTTGGTGGGGTGGTGCATGCACACAATATATAATATTCAAACAATATATATTCAAACAAATGGATTCATTCAGTTTTTATTGTATCATTAGCTGATATCATTATTACTTATATTTTTCAAACACCCTTGTTATACAGATATATGCCGAATTAAAAAACATGGAGTTTTGATAATAATATACAAATATTGACTTTGGGTGAGGTCATCTCAGGGATTTATAGACTCACTATTCACGGAAACATTCCTCTTCACATTCTAGCTAGTACATTTTGAAGAAAAGTTTATTACAACAGAAAATACCTGGAGACAAAATATGTTAGTACCTTATGTATAGTGTCTCAAATTTATCACAATTAATCTCAAAAGTTAGGATCGGGAATAAAATCATTAAGGTTAAATAATTATGAAAATTACTGCATATTCTTTTAATATACCCAATGTTAATATTAACATCATTATCGTTATTACATCTAGATTCAGTTGTCAATGGATGCATTATTCATTATTATTTCTTTAACATTAAAAAATACTTTTCTCCAGAGCATTGCTTTTCTACACATTCGTCTCTCTGTCTACAACCTCCTTTTCATCTTCCACTTGTACATAACAGTCATTTTCACCAATCGCTTGTTTTAGATCGATCAAAGTATTACTGCTGCCCCTTTCGCCATGACAGTTTTCAATAACAATTGGCTGTGATGCCAACCCAATCTTTAATGAGGCCACATCAGTAGGAGAGCCCTCTCCACCATTGCCCACATCAATCTGAGAAAGGCCCAGAGATTCCAAACCAGGAGAGAGAGCAACATCCGAGCCATCAGACAGTTGCAAAGCATCTAAATGTTTTGGGCCATCTGTTGTTGGAGTGCTGGAACAACTAGAGGAGAGGCTTCCATCTTTCACAGTGACATACTCTCCCCTGTTATCCTGGGAGGCTCTGATCTTCTTCAGCTTCTTCTTCCTGGTTTGGCCAGCGGCCAATTCTGCTGAGTCATCTTCCTCCACCTGTGCATGGTGATGCCTGTGGCCTGACACAGCTGCAGTGATTTTGCTGGTCAACTTCTCAATGCTTGAGCTTGCTCTCACGGGTGTTGAGGAGTTTCCTTTGCGAAGCTTTCTAGGCTTTTTCTTTTTTGGGGTGTAGTCTCTGCTGGCAAAATCCATGGAGTCCCATTCGGGCTCCCAGTCGTCATCACTGTCATCAAAAGTTTTCTGGCGCAGCAATGGTGATTCGATGGTTACAGCACGCATTTTCTTCTTGTATGTTTTCTTCGGTTGTCTTTTCTCCACAGCCTCTGTCTCAATGAACACCCGTTCATCATCCATTACAGGTTGCTGCTGGGATGTTTTGGATGTTTCTACGGATTGTTCGCCAAGGGTGGTGGTAGTAATGACCATATTGTCATGACAAGCCAGTGCTGATGAAGACGATTCAGAATCAGCAGGATCATCAGACAAGGTTCTAAAGAAAGTTGATTTTCCAACGGTAACTTCCGTTTTACCCATTTCTACTTCTGGGCTGCCATTCCATCTACTACTGCTATTGCCATCTGTTTTTGATATACTACTGGTCATTTCTAAAGAATTGTCTTTGCTCAGTTGGTGCACCTCGTCCCTGCTGGCAAACGTCACCATACGTTGTGGAGGAAGAGCTAGGACAGCATCACTGGTATCACTATGACGACGAGCATCAAAACTCACCATGCTGTAATCAGTAGAGCCTCGGGATGCTGAACGCCCACGCTGGGGCGGCAATTCAGTCTCAAGGATGGGATCGAGGAGACCATCTTGTTGGATCCACTCTGTCTCTGCAGCATCTCCCTCAGTAATTTCATCCATCATGTTCCTCAGCATCTGATTCTCCCTCACCAACTGTTGTAGGAGGCTGTCGTTCTTACGCATGCCACTCGGGGGACTGATGCTATTTGATGTCACTGAATCCTGCCGAGTCTCTGCCAGGATGGGGCGTGAAGAGGCAGATGGGGTCTTGGACATTTCTTCCTCCTCCTCTTCGTTTGGTTCTTCCCCAACAGATTCCAGTTTTCCTTGATGAGAAGGGAAGTCTCTGGTAGGGCTGAGGGCCCTTGGACTTAGTTCTGTGCTACTCCTGGGTAAACTGTCTACACTGCTGGCCTGATCAACCAAGATGGATGGAAGTGGCGCTGTCAGGTGACTTCCTGGGTTGTTGTCCAAGTCATACTTCACTTTCTGAAGTTTCTGGTGGAGAAGCTTTGCATGCTCTTTTGTTGGCCCCGTGTCCGTCACATCTCCTCTGTACTGTGTCTGCAGTTGCTCCTCAGCTCCACCCTCATTTTCATCTGAAGAGTACATTTCTTGGTCACGCATTGCCATGATGGCTGCCCTAAACAGCTGCCAGTCACCGAAAGTCATTCCCATGACCAGTTTTAGCTCATCTAGATCACAGTTGATGAGGACTATACCAGTGATGTTGTTTCCTCTAATTCTGTCCTGGTATTCTGGAAGTGCTGTTGCATTCAATCCCTCTATTTTTTCCAATAACAAACACACACCCTCCACTGTTAATGCTGCTAATTTGATCTAAAAATCCAAAAAGAAAGAAAAATTCTTAGTTAAATGTACACATTAAGAACCATGCCAACAACATGGTATAAATTTGCTATCCACATATCAATCTAATTAAAGCAATAGTTTTACCTGTAGTGTTTATTCATTTAATTGGAAAACAATAGCAGCTCAAAACAAATGTTCATACCCAATATCATTGCAAAAACAAACTTAAACAATTTTAATATCAATGCTCTCAATAAATCCCAAAGACCAATGTTTATACCATTACACTTACCCCTTGAGGTACTTTTGTATGGGTCCTTTTGGATGTGCTTTGCCATGGGGTAATGTTCCCATACTGCACAGGCATGCCATAAGGCATGGCTGGCATGGGGCCAAAGGGACTAGGGTACCCATAAGGCATCACTGGGTACCCATAGGGCCCTGGGGATACTTGGCTGCCAGGGTCCACTGTGGCAGCTCTGTTACGTTTACGGAGCTGCCCTATTTGTGTAGCTCGAGGGTCGGAGGAAGACAATAGCTGGGGTGTTGAACATGCAGTTGCCAGTGGTCGAAAAGGAACTGAATAGTCCATGTTGACCGTCTGGATGTTGTCTTGTTGTTCTTTGAACTCTGAAAACGTAAACAAAGGAAAATTGCCATTTTGATATCAGGAGAAACAAGAAGAAAAAAATTAAAATAGAAATGATCGCATCGTGCCTAGTTCTGAACTTGGCCAACATTTTAGGGCCACAAGAAACAGAAAAAAAAGGGTTCCAGCTTTAACAGGGTCACCATTTGTATAACACATTGTCCACAAGGCCAAAATCATTGAGTCACCAGACCATGTCCACTTTCAAAATTGACCTGTATTTAAAAACACTGAGTAATCACCATTAATTTGAAACAGAATGACATTAGTGCCTGCGGTAGCACTAAATAAATAAATAAAAATGTGTGAGGCTCCAGCTCTGACTCCCACAACAGATATTTCAGTGTCATCAACTCTGGTCACTAGGACAGAGCCAGGTGCCGATATTATGTATGGACTATGCTGTATCTATAAATAAAAATTCACTGGCCAAATCATAACCTTCATCTATACAAATAACAACAGAAATTGCAAGTATTTGGAACTGTTTACTCAAAAATAAACTTTAAAAAAATTCATATTGGGAGTTAAGGTCTTCACCATAACTGCATTTTTATATGAAACACTCCCAAATCTTTATGCACACTAACACACTCAAACATATGCAGACACACTCTTGGATCAGATCTATTTAGACACGCCCATCATAACCAACTCCAACATTCCCTGGCAATCATCTTTCCCCCAATTGCAAATTACCTTTGATCAGCTTCCTGAGGTAGGGGTCTATACTAATGCTACAAGGCAGTAGTCTTCTGATGTCGCCAACGGTCAGCTGCGGAGTGAAGCTTGCAAGGAACACTTCCAACTTCTGAGGGTTGCGGTCAATTTCTATCAAAGGATGGAGCTCCTTTGGCGGTAGGAAAGGTGTGATCCTAGTAAAATTCAATACACAATTCTTCACACTTCACTGTATTGTTTTTTACTTCACTGCACAGTTCAAGTGTGAACAGTAAACCAAAATCTACTTCGGTGGGTGACTAAAAGAACTGGCACTTTTTAGGACACTTCTCACCATAGAACTTTTGATGACTGATTCAGGGGGAGAAAGGGTAGGGTTCTTAAAAGAGCATAATGAGACAAAACCTTAAGTTTTATTTTTTTTGAGTGAAATGAGGCAGAACTTTTATCCTCTGTCTGCCTTATCAAATAAAGCTTCTTAGTAAAATTTTTAAAAATCTGGTTGAGAAGTCGTCCTGGGACAATTTTTTTTCCAAAATATGCAAATAATAATAATAATAAAATGAAAAATAAAATAAAATAAATAAATAAACTCATAAATTTGAAGTAAAATGAATATGCAGTTTGGCAGTTACAAAGGGATGCCTACAGTGATTGTGAAGTCAGGGGCAGTCAAGACAATCAGAAGATTTATAGCCATTAAGAATGTCTGGTCGTAAAAACTGAAGAATGGTAGATATGTTGAGTCATAGTCTGAAATCTAGACAAACTACGGTTTGTGGCAAGAACAGCCATGGAGGCTATCCATAATTCAATATATTTAGGTATATGTCTTTGACATTTCTCCTTTGCTTTTTAATGAAAAAGAAAAAAGCAAGATGAGGCAATGAACGCAGCTAAAACTGAAACACCAATTCACTTTGAATAAAAAACATATAATATAGTAATTTTCATAGTATGCATATGATCATACAATCATCAGGAAAAAAATCATGGAGTCAGGGCGATCAAAATTACAATGATCTTACTTGTCATATATATCCTTCAGAGTGACTTTGTCATCCAGCGGGGCAGTTTTCTCCTGCTGTTCAAAGTACCACAGTATCCAGGAGGTCCTATATGGCCACTGCTCCGTCAGATTAACCCAGTGAGAGAGGCGATACCAACAAAAATCTATATTGTAGGCACGCAGAAGGCGACCTGATGAACAAACAGACAATAATTATAATGAATTATATGAATAATGATGATTTATATTCATTACAACAGATGTCAGTTTAATTATGCAAGGTACCGATGAACTGTGGGTTTTAATAAAAACCTGAAGCTTGTTGGTTTTACAAATTTTAAACTGATTAAAATCCTCATCTTTATGAACCTGTTCAATCCTAAATGGATGTTGCCTTCCCCAGGAGCATCCATACCCAGACATATACCTTGTCCACTGTAGTGTATAATTTTACGCCAGAAGATGAAAATGTACAATAAAGATACAATATAGTATATTACTAATCATACAGTGCAGATTTTTACTATTGAGCCTGAATGACTCTAGATCTTGTGTTCAATTGCTGGTAGATACAGCACTGTCTTTACAATTTCTCCTAGCAAGGGCATTAGTGAGGTACTGAGCTAATATAGCTTACTTCACTGGGTGGATTTATTTACCAGGGTGGATTTATTTACCAGGGTGGATGAAAAAGACAATATAAATATAATTTTAGTGAATATGTTATTAAACAATTACACTGAGTAAGACTATTTACTAACTTACTAAAAAAATTAACTCGAGTTTCTATTACTACTACAGTACTACTAAATTGCCAATGGGTGCAGCACTGTCTTCTAGATCCCTCCTAGCAAAAGCGGAGGAGAGAAACTGAGCTAGTGCAATGAGGGTTTCTTCTTCTTGAGATTTCATAATATAAATAGGGTTTTGTGCTCTTTGCATGTCGCAATAATGATGACAAAATATCCACCTATTGTTCTTCAACCAAAGCTAGTATGATGTTTTATAACTACTAGTACAGTGTTTTGTTTGCTCATATTTGAGTTATCACTCATGATAACTGGCATTATGTTTACCATGACCAGACAGATGTTCAAATGTATAGACAAGTTTCTGAATTCATTGCTGGCCAGAAAAATGTTACAACAGAGACAATGTTAAGACCCCATTGAGAGTATTCCTACAGGTTACATATTGATCACCTACCAGTACTTTGTCACTTGAAAAATATTGCATAACATTTTGATGACAATGTACACTTGTAAATCCAGTTATAGGTTCAAAAAATTTTAATTTGTTTAAATATCATTTCAACTTGGTGTCTGATCAGTTTTAGAAACAGACGAAGATGAAAAAATGAATAAAAAACAAAATGTATGTTGTTTAAGTCAAAATTGTCATCGGGAAGGAGATGCCATAGATTAGAACCAGATGCAGGCCTGCTCAATAAAAATTGGTTATTAGCTAAATTATAGGTTTATATTATAAAAACCACAAGAATTTCCCAACTGGAGAGGCTGGTATTTGTATAATACAATTAGAATCCTTGAAGCCCAAGGTATGAAAATCATACATTTTATGTACAACCATTACTGTCACTGGTCTTTCTCACAATGACAGTCAGATGACTGACCATGAGCCCCAGTTTGCCTTATATCCACTTTTTGGATGTCGGTTAATCTCCCCCTCCCATTTCAACTGTACTCCTACTTCATAGGGAGATGTGCTATGTACATGCCTATATACATGCATGCACGTATAAATCTTTGCGTGCTTCAAACATGCGCTCATACCTGTTATTGCGACAATATTCACCAGTCTTCTCATACTGCGTGGGTTGATATCGCTGAAGTAGTCCCCCGAAATGGTAGGTCTGGCAAGGTCTAGTGTGGACCCCTGCCGTGACATTGCCCCGCCCCCACCGACACTCCCCACAGATGAGAACACATTGCCAGACATAGAATAGGCCCGCCTGCGTTCTGAGGTCTTGGAGTGCATGGGAACTGACAACTGAGAGAAGCTGGAGTCCTGTCTCTAAATAATGAAAGAGAGAGAATGAGGGGTCAAAAGTATATAAAAGATATAATATATCTAATAGGATGATTACAATTCTTAAATATGTTGATATTCTATATGCAGTTTAGTCTCCACACAACTCATCACTTTATAAGGAATTATACTTTCTTGTTCCTCAATGAACAAGTCTTATTCTTCATCCACATTTACAAACTTTTTAGGGATCGAGTTAGTTGAAACTTATATTAATGGAGGCTGCACAATGCAAATCTATGCATAACCTCAAACAAATTTTCCTGTTTCAAAAAGACAGAGTAATATGGATTGTATTCTATTTGTCAATGAGACACAATGTACATAATTGTGTCTTATGTAGGCTGCATTATATGCAATTGCAAATGACTTATTTTGACAATTACAAACATGACAATGGTTTCACAGTAAAATGACAATGACAGTGTGACAATAACACCACAGTCTAAGCACATAAACACCAGAAATTAGAGATCCAATAATTTATAATGATACATATTGTGTATGTATGTGTGTTCACATTTGCAGGTTTGAATGCATTTGTGTATATGCATGAGTATGCATGAACTTAGTTGCTCTCTGCCCCATGTTGGGTAAATGCTTCCTCAGCACTTACCTAGTGAACCTTTTTTTTTTACTGAAAGGATATTTTTTTGATTGTGACCAATTCAAACTCACCATGGAATGGTATAAAGCCCTTTGAATTGAATGTTCCTGACACCCCCTACTGTCAATGTTTGGCCGGGTGGGTGGGGCAAAATGCATGGGGTGGGGTGTGTGAAGCAATAGAAAGATTAAGGTATGTGCAAGGATGTACTGTGCTTTATTTTAGGTAGATTTTTTAGTGGATAGTATTTATGTGCAAATAGAGATTTACAGTAAATATCAAAAATATATTGTTTAATCACTTGTAATTCTTTTGGGGGAAACTCAAATCAATAGTAAAAAGATTCCTGCTATTTTATTTTTTATCAATTTATTCAGTAATCACTTTCACTGAACTGAACGCATGGCTTTTCCCACCGAACCATTCGGCCGTCATTTGGACAGCTGTCAGCATCACTGGACAGCCTACATTTTCTAAATTGGCTGGGCAGAATATGAACTTCTTTGAAAAATTATGGCATTGGACTCCCTGAAATATTGTAGGAAATTACAGACGATCATTTTGGACAGCCTGTACCCCAATCCTGGGAAAAGCCCTGATTGAACATCAAACAAAATTGCCTTTTCTTTTCTTTCTTTTTCTGGTGGGGTGGAGTGAGGGGATAAAAGCAGATTCTATAAATTCCATTTTACACAACCCCATAAACAAAATCATTCATAACAGTCAATGTCATAATTTGCTCTGCAAGTGTTCTGTTTTCGTGATACTATTGCCTTCACTGTTACACTACCTGTAGTCATATAAATAAATCATGCATTTCAAGATCAAATCAAAACCATCAATATTAAACAAAATAAAAATTACATAGTCAAATGAAGTTGATTCTGATTGTGATACATATGAAGTGCTTTCATTTAGGTTGTTTTAAATTAAATTACTGTTGAAGTACAAGTAAAGTAATTCCTATTCTGTTCAAGGGGGAAGTATGAGTTAGTCAGCCCAGAAAAACAAGCCTTGGTCACTGACTGATCAAGAAAAATATTGTCTTTTAAATAAAAGTATTCTACAAATTCTTTAAAATGAATCATCATTAGTAGTGTTATATAAAATAAATAAATAAATAATTTATTTATTAAATTAATAAAAGGTAATATTTAGAAATGAAATCAGAATTTGCCTTCAAATCAAGCAGAGCATGAGGAAATCATTTAACATGCAAAATGCTTGAGCCTGAACAACAAGCATAAGAAGATACTTTCATGTCAACTAAAAATATTTACTTATTAAACATCTAAACCCTCTTGTCCTTCTGCATATACCATTAATAAAATTTAACAATGTTGCCAACATTGCCTAACTGGCTTCCTTGTATACTGATCAAATTGAACAAAAACAACAATAATAATGTTTTTTTTCAGCCAATTACATAATAAAAAATAACAAAAAGTTATACACAAATTTAGTATTAGACAAAAGTGGACAACTATACTTCAAAAACTATTGCCTATCATTAATAAATTGAATTTAAAGAAAAAAATGAATCATTTCAACCAGTGGTATCATGAAAATTATTGGTTATCAATGGTTATTATCAGCTGAAGCTAAAAGCTGTTAGTCCACATACAGAGACTAAGGCAAGCACAATTATATGAATACCTATAGCTACAAGGCAGCAGGGAAAGGGAAGGGGGGGGGGGGGCGCTGGTGTCACTGTGCATGTGTTATTATATGCTAGTATGCATGCATATCTGGGATGGTGTAGGTCTTACTGCATGTGCAATACAAATGTACAAACAAATAAACAAAAAAGGCATTATGACTAAATCAATTCAATAATGAATCAGCCACCACCATTTTCATAAAGGTACAGAATATCCTAATACTGCGATTACAATTCATTATTATTGGACGTGCAAAGCAAAGTTTAGTTATTTGATTTAACAAAAATCATTATTTGATCAATTTGATCACCATTATTAATTAAGCTTTACAAAAAAGGTGAAAATTACCAGGACTTTTTACCCTAATTCTACCCCAACAAATATTGGCACTGGCAGGTCCACGCATCTTATATATATTAAATCCTAACAATTTTCTCTATAAATCTTCATTATGATATAATATAATGACAAATACTATAATTATAACCATACAAAAATATTTGTTTGTGTAAACATCATTCAATTTTAATAACAGAACTTCTCAGGGAAAAGTGTCAAATCCAAACAGATAATATTTTTCTCCTTTTTAAAAAATCTCCAGCGCACTGCGAAGTCTAAATTCACTTGCGGCTCAAAATTATTAAGAATTTATAGATGCATGGACCAGACGCCACAACTGTTTCCACTTACTCCAGGAACGTCTAGAAACACCCGGTGCTGACTGGATACTGAACTGGTCTAATCAAATAACAAAATCATGTCAAAACACACACATTTTTAAAAATATAAAGTGAAATCAGATAGGACCTTAACAGTGAAAATGCACTGGTAGATATAGTCTAATCAAATAAACAAAATCAAGTCAAAACAATATATTGAAATAATAAAAGGTGAGTCAGGTAAAGGGAGGACCGTTTAACTGAAGACGTGCTTTATTTCCCCTGCATCTACAACTAGGATAAAAATGCTGTGAAACTGCAAAGTTTGTAAGTTGTAACTAATGAGAAAATCTGAAGATATAAAATATGATGGAATATACAACTGCTTAGAGTTAAAAAAAATATTGGTTCATTGCATCAATAGCAATATTTTAAATAGTATGAAAGTGAATTTTTAACAGATCTGTTATTTCACAGGCAGTTCCTGTCCATCATGGTAAATAATTTTATTATGCTTTGAAACTGAAATATAAAACTGTGATATTCCTGAAGATTTTCATTCTCTTCCCACTATCAACCTTTGTGTATGTTTTATAACCATATGATTTTATCAAATACATTCTAAATTTCAATTTAATTCAGATCTTGCAATTAAACAAATAGTATTATTACAGACTTTCTGAACTGTATCAAACAACATTATTGACCTGACCTAACATTTTTTGTAGCAGTCGATGAAAATAATTATAACAGCATAAGAGCACAAAGATGAAAATTCATATTCTAAGTCAGATTTTCTTCAAACAACAGCTCTACTCAGAGTACCATGCACTCAAATGTTCTTGTAACTTTTAAATCAGTAAGTTTAATTTATACTCTGTTTGACACTTTGAAATAATTTTTTTATTTATCTGTTTAAAGGTTGGATTATCGATAAATAATTTAGAATATATACACACACATAACTGTCATATAAAATTTCTCCATGATGACAGAGCTACGTATATTTTCATAGAACAAAATTATGAAACAGAAAGGTAACTTCCTACATGTACAATATTTACTTTATCCAGCAGTTGTTACATAATATGAAGGCATCTTGTAAGACAATGCCGTATATATTGGATTGCAAAAACTTGAGTTTAACTACGTACTACAGTCATTGAAAAAACCTTCAATGTGACCTTGAGGGCATGTCACAGCTGATGTAATTCTTCCTGAATATTCACATTATGCTAGCAATCCCAGCTAGGTCAAGTACACGGGCTTGGATGCATATTTCATGAAACAGCTCCACACAGAAGTTGAGTTGCCATAGTAACCATGTTTTAAACCTTCAATTCTGGGTCAGATATGCAAATATTTTTTCTTGTGGCTGATTAGTAACGTAAATATATATAATATGAACGTATACATAGAGATTGACAGTTGTCAAATTCAGTCGTACAAGTTGTAAAACTAAGTACAATTTTGAGCATACCTCTATTTCAGAGGCAAAAAAGTTTTGCCCCCCTCTCCCAAAAAGGGTCATTGTATTACAGAATGATATTTTTTTCTAGTGCAAACATGCAATCCATTTCTAAGCTCAAAGAAAAAGAAAATGCATTCTATCTTCAAATGAAATTGCAAAATAAAGTCTAATTTCTCAATCACGAGTGGTTATACTAGTACTGTACACTTCAACCAACACTCTTTTTAGTCTTATAAATAACTTAAAAGCAAAACACACCAAGAAACAAACCTCCAGAAGTAAGGGACACACTTGAAATAAACTGTTAATAATCAAGGCATAAGAGACTATATCATCAAAAATTCTAACAGCAACACATGTATATTTAAGCCAAAGAAAAAATTAATGACATCAGGTTTGAATTCAAAAAAAGTTTGTCACTTACCCTAAATCGCACATCATTATTTGAGCTGAATTCACTAACACTCCCGTTCTCTAAATTCTTGCTAGCCTTCGGCAGTATTCCCTGACTTTGGAGGTAGAAGGGCAAGTGGACCATGTTTCGCAGATAGTCATTTCCCGTGATATTGGAGTCGTGAAACACCAGGTTGAGGTTGGTCTCGATGCCCTTGATGATGACATGAGGGTCCACAGCCAAAATGAGTATAAACGGCGAGTCCTGGTCCGAGAACAGGTTGTTCACAGTATCGAAGACTTGCAAAACCTTGTCTTGCTCGCAGCTGTCAAGACCGTCCACAATCACCACCAACCTGGTCTTGTTTCCCATGAAAGCATCATGACAGTTGACAATTTTGGACATCAATTTCACCTCAGATTTTAACATCTGGAGCATTCCCTCCAGTTTCAGAGAATCGAAGCTGTCGGCAGTCTTCAGAGTTCTTTTGTGTTGGGAGATTAGAAGTGATGTTATTATCTGCCACCAGGTGACGATGTTTGCAATCACGACAACCCCAACAATGCACACTATGGTGATCAAGATGGCGTTGATGGTTAAGTTGTCATGGAGTTTAACACTTATTCCGTGTATGCTTACCAACACAACCCCCACAATGAGACAGGCGAAGACGAGTGCAGCAATAAGGAAATTTGGGATGCAGCAAACGGATTTGAAACGGCCGTATGTGTGACCTGGAATAAAAAGGAATTTAATTGGGTGCGCGTAAATACAGGTGTAATGATTTACAGTCTTACTTTGTCATCTTATTTCCAGATTAAGATTTAAAAACTTAAAGGGATAATAACTCTTTGTATGAGATCTATATTTCATAATAAAAACATTGGGAATAACTCATAGAAATATAATATATTCTGTTTTACCACAAAAATGGCAGTTAAAGCTATTATTCTGATATCTGAGCTTGTCTTTAGACCACGTGACCTCCATTGATGGCTATACTCTGCTCAAATCTCTTAAGAGATTTTAACAAAAAACCAAACTTTTTAGAAAAAAACCAGGGACTAACTTTGAATGTAACAAGGCAGCAAANCTTCACACAGAAGTTGAGTTGCCATAGTAACCATGTTTTAAACCTTCAATTCTGGGTCAGATATGCAAATATTTTTTCTTGTGGCTGATTAGTAACGTAAATATATATAATATGAACGTATACATAGAGATTGATAGTTGTCAAATTCAGTCGTACAAGTTGTAAAACTAAGTACAATTTTGAGCATACCTCTATTTCAGAGGCAAAAAAGTTTTGCCCCCCTCTCCCAAAAAGGGTCATTGTATTACAGAATGATATTTTTTTCTAGTGCAAACATGCAATCCATTTCTAAGCTCAGAGAAAAAGAAAATGCATTCTATCTTGAAATGAAATTGCAAAATAAAGTCAAACAATTTTTCAATCACGAGTGGTTATACTAGTACTGTCCACTTCAACCAACACTCTTTTTAGTCTTATAAATAACTTAAAAGCACAACACACCAAGAAACAAACCTCCAGAAGTAAGGGACACACTTGAAATAAACTGTTAATAATCAAGGCATAAGAGACTATATCATCAAAAATTCTAACAGCAACACATGTATATTTAAGCCAAAGAAAAAATTAATGACATCAGGTTTGAAATAAAAAAGTCTGTCACTTACCCTAAATCGCACATCATTATTTGAGCTGAATTCACTAACACTCCCATTCTCTAAATTCTTGCTAGCCTTCGGCAGTATTCCCTGACTTTGGAGGTAGAAGGGCAAGTGGACCATGTTTCGCAGATAGTCATTTCCCGTGATATTGGAGTCGTGAAACACCAGGTTGAGGTTGGTCTCGATGCCCTTGATGATGACATGGGGGTCCACAGCCAAAATGAGTATAAACGGCGAGTCTTGGTCCGAGAACAGGTTGTTCACAGTATCGAAGACTTGCAAAACCTTATCTTGCTCGCAGCTGTCAAGACCGTCCACAATCACCACCAACCTGGTCTTGTTTCCCATGAAAGCATCATGACAGTTGACGATTTTGGACATCAATTTCACCTCAGATTTTAACATCTGGAGCATTCCCTCCAGTTTCAGAGAATCGAAGCTGTCGGCGGTCTTCAGAGTTCTTTTGTGTTGGGAGATTAGAAGTGACGTTATTATCTGCCACCAGGTGACGATGTTTGCAATCAAGACAACCCCAACAATGCACACTATGGTGATCAAGATGGCGTTGATGGTTAAGTTGTCATGGAGTTTAGCACTTATTCCGTGTATGCTTACCAACACAACCCCCACAATGAGACATGTGAAGACAAGTGCAGCAATAAGGAAATTTGGGATGCAGCAAACGGATTTGAAACGGCCGTATGTGTGACCTGGAATAAAAAGGAATTTAATTGGTGTGCGTAAAAACAGGTGGAATGATTTACAGTCTTATTTTGTAATCTTACTTCCGGATTAAGATTTAAACACTTAATTTAAGTATGAGAAACATGACAAATACCCTTAGGTTTGAAAACTCTGTAAAGTCTTGTGATGAGCATTCCGTACTCTTCCTCCATAGCTTCACAAAGGGAGGCCACCATCATGGCAATTGATTTCTCTGCCCCCACACTGGTCAGCTTCATGTAGTCACTGAACATGAACCTAAAATTCCAAATAAATCATGCATATTATTTAAAAATAACAGATACAAACTTTTATCAATAAAAACAACAATAAAAAAGCAGAAGACATGCAAGTAAAGACAACTTTACAGAATGGACATACCTTAAAAGAAGACACTGGTTGATATTAGCCATCACTCTACTTATTCATCCTGAAAATCTTTGTACACTGTCAGTTTATAAACAACCAGCTCTAGTCCTTTCACACATTTCTAATTGTCCTTGCCCTTCTCCAGGCTGATGACTACACCATCAAGGGACTAACCAAGCTAAATAATATAATTCTAATACTGCTGGCATGGAAAATATCCCACCTTATTCCAGGCATCTGATTAGGGTCTATGTTTTTGGGTGGGTTACAGAAGACCATTTTGACGAGGAGAAAGAGGAAGCTGAGTTTCTTCTCGAGCAGACTACTAATGTGAAGTGCCCACCTCCATTGTTTCCTCTTACAACCAACCCACACAATGCCTGGAATACAGAATCTTTGTTTCATTACGGATGCCTTATTTTTAAACCTATTTATTTATTCACTTCTTATACCAATTTTCTCATCTACTTTTCTATTTATTTATGCATTACAAGTGTGCATATATATATATATATATATATATATATATATATATATATATATATATATATATATATATATATATTTTTTTTTTAATTTCATGCTTTTTCCTATTTCTGCAAAATAATCAATAACAAACAATTGTCCTTCAAAATTACTTGACCACACATCAGATAATATATCAAACTGTAGAGTCCATGCCTCCTTGAAATTTACCCAAAAACGTATACTGCATCACAAACAACCAGGCTCTTATCTCCAACTGTTTCAATTAGTTCACCTCCCCCCTACCCCCCTCCCATTTAAAACTTACCCAAAAATGCATACTGCATTACAAACAACCCGACTCCAATCCCGACTCCAATCTCCCAGCGTCTCAAAGGCAGACCAAAGGTCAGACCTATCAGACTGCTCACTATGAAGACCAGGAAGAACAAACCAAAAGAAAACTCCACCACAAGGTCGGAGGTACGGTGGGCAAACTGAACTAACTCATCTGAAAGGAGAATGTTTTCATATGCAAGATACCTGAAAGATACATATAATCTTTTCAGGAATGTTTTAAAGGTAAAATGTTTTTAAAACAGGTAGTCTCTCCAAATTTATAGGATTTCCACTTACCCTGTAGTTTCTCCAGAAGTACAGACTTTCCACTTACCCTGTAGTCTCTCCAGAAGTATAGACTTTCCACTGCCCCACTTAGCAAAGAGGCCCACAGTGATGGGTGTGTGCAGGGTGGGCTCACTGAGACAGTCAGCCAGAGCACTGCTGTATAGGTCAAAGTTCTCATCTCTTTCCGTCTGGTTCAGGTTTCCTACATGCATTAAATGTATTGGTATTAAATTAATACTATTAAAATTATTGTAAATAGGATTCCTGACAGAGCTTGATATGATAATTCTGAAGTATACCTTTATATAGTGATTCAGTTTAGTTTTTTTTTTTACTAATGTCAAGACAGATTAGTTCTTGTAACAGTTGTTTTATCCCAGCAAACACATGATGTTTTACAACATTTATCACCACGTTACCATAACGTGTTTTGGTTTATAAACATAATGGTAACGTTATAATAACGTTTTGTACTTGCGTAGTAGGAGAAATTGATAGTTCCAGTTCTCCTTCCTCTTTCCCCCCCTCTCTCACATATAGACACACAAATCATCTACATACCACAACAATGCAAACAGTAATTAGATTTAAGCTGCCTTGTAACAGAAATTCATATCTAACCTTAAGATATTTACAAAGCCCTAAATATGTATAACAAAACCATTTTTGTAAAAAAAAACAAACAAAACAAAACAAAAATATGTGTACACACACACACACCTGATGTTGTAATTTATACTTAAGTTACATGAAGGGTGAATGTGCTTGTGCATGTTTAACAGTACTCACTCCTTCCCAGTATTGATGTCAGAATACTCTTGGGCTGGTTGCCATCTATCATGTATGGAGTCTCTCCAACTTTGTTAGTTCTGTACAGCAGACGGCTCTCTTTAGGGTTACGTAACAACAGTTCCGTTATTCTGCGACTCCTAACACGTAGGGCAATATGCAACGCATTGTCCCCTTTCTGATATAAAAATCATAAACAATTATATTCTCTTGAATAAGATAATGAAATTTAAACTGTTCTATTAGAAAATAGAAGAGAAAGATTAATTTGTTTCCATCCCTTTTGGTGCCTAAATTACGACCAAGTTTAGTTTTCTGGTGTCTGGAGGTGGTAAAACAAGATCATATGATATGATGAAAACAAGACCTTACAACAAAACCATTCAGCCATAATTTTTTTGCACCAAAAAATATCAAATCATATAATAACACATGGACATGAACTTATCTGTTTGCCATTTAGAATTACTTTCCCTTTATTCTATTTGTTCAAATTTAAACATCAATATCACTCCATTAAGTGTGAATAGAAACTTCATTTGTTTCAAGCATACCTTGTTAGTTGCAGAGACTTTAGCACCTTTATTTAACAGCAGATTCACCATCTCATAATTTCTGTTCTTCACTGCCTTCAGCAGGGGGGTGGTGCCGTCCTACAAAAAAATAAACCAAGGATTTGTTTATTCAAAATTATTAATAAATGAAAGTATTGGAATAATTTTCCTATGAGAGCTAAGACTCGAAATAACTAAACATTCTCAAATGCCACTTGTTAACGGAATACTTAAAGCACAGAAGCCATGCTCCTATCATACCTCATCAAAACTGACTTTTTTAATACTTGCAACTTACATTTCTACCAAATTAAATGACAAATAAAATACATAAAATATAATGTTGTAAAACTTTTAAAATGCTGTGAAAACAAGAGTTGACATCATAAAATCTGGCACAGCCGAGAAAAAGTTTTCTGTTTGCAATTACCATATAAATCATAAAATTTCTTACTTTCGTGGCCAGCTCTTTGTCAGGTTTGTGTTCCAGAATGGCCCTAGCAATTTCCACATGACCTTTCTCTACAGCAAAATATAATGCAGTTTTGTTGTCCTGAAAAAAAAAATCATCATCATTAATATGGGTCTGAAACTTATTTATAAAGGTTACAACAGATACTGCCAGCTAGAGAAGGAGCGACAGAAAAATCAGCATGTGATTGATTTGCAAAACAATAAGTTTGTGCATGCATGCGCGTGTGATCAAAATAAACCTTTTTTTTTTCAATTGTGACAACAGTATCAGAAAAACAACCAGAAGTTAACTTAATCAAATACAGAATCAATCATGAAATACACATTTAACACAATAATGTTTATAAAGGAAAATTTAATATGAATAGAAAATGGCATGAGTTATAGTGGTAAACCATATGCAGATGTGCATGTTCTTATGTCATCAATGCTCGTGCATAATGTCATCAGTACATGTGTAAAACATCATTGAAATATATACACCATGTCATCAGTTTATGTGTACCTACCTCTCCCTGCACGTCAATATCAGCATGCTTCTTCAGTAAAGCCTGGACTATTTCTAGATGCCCACTCTTGGTAGCTCTGATCAAAACACTGTCACCAGACTGAAATTACAGAAGGGTTTTTACTTTCAAATTCTAAAAACCTAATTTTTTTGGATACTGTACTTTCTAAATGAAAAAAAAACAACATTTTCTGACACGAAACCAACTTAACAAAACTTTTGAATAAATATTATATAATCTAAGTATATCTAATAAAGCATTCTTTGATGAAAAATTAACTTATGCTGATTAAATTCACTCTACCCATTACCTTGTCCACAATGTTGACATAAGCGCCATGCTGTAGCAACTCCTTCACTATCTGAAAGTAGCCATCTTTGGCGGCTATGGACAATGGAGTGAGGCCATCCTAAAATAGACCATCCAGAATAACAGAAATGTCTCCTTTCTTATTAATTAAACATGATGTACAAAAATCATATGTACACAAATTCAATTTCCAATTTAACTATGTGAAAAGTCTGTATTGACCATGTAGATCCAAAAGCTGAAGAGAAAAACTAGCCAGTCCGAAAAGGGCACTATTTCTAAATTGAGCAGCATCAGTTTTAATGCTTAAATGTGATCGAGTGAAAACAACATGAAAAGCAAGTGTCTTACTATTGAGAATGAAAGTGAAAGTTACCTTGTCGACACAGTTTACATTGGGCACTATCTCATGGTTAAGCAGTGCTGACACTATATCCACAAACCCTCCCTTAACAGCAACAAGTAAGGCAGTCCAGGCATTCTGAAAGAGAACAATGTCTTTTGGGATAAAAATTTTGAAAATATTAATAGCACAGACTGACTCAACACTGAAATTTTCAGATGATCAAAAATGTGAAACAATAATAAAAAAATTACTTGTCACATATCATCCCTACAAAATTCTGTTGATCATACAATACTGGCTTAGTTCAAAATGCTTATAGTTTTTCTTTAAAACTATTTAGCCAAATAAAAATTATGCCAGGCAACCCTAGAAGAAACATTTCAAAACAATATCTTTTTGCCAGCATCACAGCAAAGCAGGCCGAGAGGTTACAGAATTTCTTTTTTTTCTTCTCCCCAAAGATCACAAATTGAGGCCAAAACATCTGCTAAAACAATACCGATCCCCTCAAACTTTTATTTATAACCTGTGCAACCAATATTACCATTCCTGCCACGTCCACATTAGCGTCAGCCAGTAGTAGTTCCTCCACTATCTCCAGACAGCCTCGTCTGCACGCCCAAATAAGAGGGGTTGTGCCATACTGCAATTATGAAGAATATTTCAGACAAGTATATCTAAATCTAAAGAACAAATACAGAGTGCAGATCTCTAACAAGAATTATGAGGCAATGCAATTATTTTTTCCTATACAGATTCGATGGAAATTTAATATTTTCCCCTCATGAATAACTGTCTATGCTGAAAATTTTACCAACATTTGTGAAGAACCTTATGAGATATTTAAGCCACGAAAAAAGGAAATCTAGGAAAAATAATAATAAAAAAAAAAAAAACATTGGTTAGCAAAATAATATAACATTGAAAGTAGACAGTTTTAAATGCACACAAATAGTCACAAATAATTTATAGTAAAAAGCCTCAAGGAGTATAGCACGCTTACCTTGTCTGCTGTGTTCACTTTGGCTCCTGCACTCAGGAGTAGTTTGACAATTTCTACGTGCCCTCTTCCCGAGGCCCATATAAGACAGGTCATGGTGTGCTGAAATGTGGAAAGACATGCTTCAAATAAGATATGGCAATGGTTAAAAAAAAAGGAAAAGACTCAATGTTTTTTTTTTATGAGGCAGGATGCTTCAACACTTTATCAAAGGGCCTTGATCAAGTAACTGGCTCCTCCATATGGTGAATGTGTCTATATGAGCTGCTAGGGAAAAAAATGCAATGACACACAGATAAAAACACATAATCTCTTTATAAACAATTCATTTATTTCCTTTTCCTACCATACACCTTCCCATTAAAAAGTTACACTTAACACAACCAAATTTCTCAAATGCAACAGATTTACAAAACCCAAAACTGAAGGTTAACTTGTGAACTTATTTAAACTTTTATCAATTATCCCAAAACAAATTCAAAGTAACATCCATTTTCATTATCAGCTGTGACTACAGCCCTGCTTAAAATCAATTTTACGTTTAATGAGAAAAGTTTGCTTGGCCAAATTTGATAAACAAACTTAAGGTAATCCTCAGCAAAAGAACCTCAAAAGAACCATCAATGGCTGATGATAAGAAATCTTTTCAATTAAATAATTCAACAACAGAAGCAATTTCAGGGATCGTCTTGTTTCCATGGTTACTCTCTGATTGAACAATTACGTAAGGTTAGTAAGTTAAATTTCATACAACAATGCAGCAGTTCTGTCTGTTCATTCATCTATCTAATTATTCATTTCTGACAATCCATTCAGTAAAATTCAGTAACACAAATATAAACTATTCTGCATGCTGAGTTCGTATGGTGTTCCTTATACTGACAACAAGAGGCTCACCCTTTCTTGCGCCAAACTATTTCCCTTATCAATTATGCATTCAAGATCAATACAAAGTCATTCTGATAAAACTGTGCAGAGGCCATAAGAAAAGGAATTTAGCAGATGGAACTGATAAAAAGTTGTAGTCTCAGGTAGCATACAGGTAGCAAACTTAATTTCAACTGATAACTGGTATGGTACATTTATCATTATTATAATTTTTTACCAAGGATGTTCCAGACAGAGAGAGACATTTAACAGAGTAATATAGGTGATGGGGAGAGAGAAGAAAAAATGATTCAGCGATTTGATTGATCAGCTACATATACATACAGGAGACCGTAGTACAACTAGGTTACATGCGGAAATGGTCATTTCACTGTTCACTGTTATATGATGCACTTGGTTCAAATGTAGCATTAACAGGTACTTCAAGGGCAATGAAAATGTGTTACTCTACTGGAACAAATGGTCTGGGTGCAAATCTTACCACTGAATATTTACTTTCATGATTGTTAGGTGGGCGGATCTGCAAGAGTTTTTTTTTTCTTTAATTTTCTTAATTCAAATCTTCTAATGCGTGAAAATAATCTACATTGCAAACTTAGTTTAAATTTCTTGTCAGCATAAATTGTCAACAGGTAAACATAAGGATGACATTATATCTAAGGTACATAAGATCTCAAGATCAGTTTGGTGATACAAGACTTGTATATCATATTATTTCCAAATGGCAAATGCATCAACATTTATGATGCACTAAAATGTATTTTAAAAGTGAAATGTTATCATTTATTAAAATATTTAAAAATAATGACCAGAGAGAAATTTCCAATTTCAAAGTAAATATTATCCCCCCCCCCCTAAAAAAAAAAATAATAATAATAATAATAATAAACTTTAACTATCTACTCTTATTTTCTACAGTATTGCCCTGGTATCCGCTTGTTTTCAGCATTGCCCTACACATATTAAGCTTAAATTCATATTTGATGATGGAAATTAATTATTTTGAAAGACATATTTTTGAAACTGTAGCGTGTAATGTCTATGTTAAAGAAATGTTCCAAAGTTAATGATTCCCATCATCGAATTTTTTACTAAATTCAAGATCTTGGATCCATGAACAATCTGATAGAAAATGTCCTAAACATAACACTGTTTCCTCCATACCTCAGCCTTCACATTGGGATTGGCTCCATGCTCTAGTAAGATATTGGCGATTTCAGTTCGTCCTTTGTAGCAAGCCCACATCAGGGCAGTCCAGCCTCCCTGGAATACACAACTTATAAGTCACAGATTCTGAAAACTAGACATTCAGAGAAGAAATGTAAGTTTATTTTTATGGACATTTCAACACTTTCTACCTTTATTGCAAAAGTATGCCATTCCCCAAACCATTCATTCACAGAATTACAACCCACTTTCGAATTCTAAGTTTGAGAGAGTGAGAGAGAGAGGGAGGATGCCAACACTGAAAAAGAGAAATGTGTCAAATTTGCTACTGCAGGTGCACAAATGCTGTGCATGGCAAAATTTCTTAGGAAACTGCAGAAATGAAGGAGCTAAATGGACGAAACGTGAATATAAATGAAACGAAACATATATTGAGTAAAACCAATAGTGATGTGTTAGCTGTGTTAACTGGATTGTGTTAGATGTGACAGACAATTGTACTGGGTGTGACAAATTCTTAAGTAGTACAGGTACATATCTTACCATATCCCTGTGTGAGATGTGTGCCTCATGCTCCAAGAGTACCTTGACAATTTCTGTATGACCCTCCTTGGCTGCGTTCAGCAAGGGACTCCAATTATCCTGAACAATTATAAAAAATAATGTTTTTTTTTTTTTCAGAAATATTAGCTATTATCTGATAGGGATTGTAAGTTCAAAAAAAGGGAAATAAAACTCCTCCCATGAGCCACAGTGAAATGACTGCATTTCTTAGCTTTGTTGAAAAATGATTTGCTTTCTAAAATTACTTTTCCAAAGGAAAAAATTCTATTCAATAATTACGTAAACCCTTCTATCAATAATGAAATCAAAGCTTGTCAGTTTATTTATTAGAGGCCAAAGAGAATGCATTAAAAATTTCTTCTTTTTCTCTTGTTTGTTGAGATAAAACAAACAAAGAAAATAAAGCAACTCATCCACATATATCAAATTCACTTGGATATAACCTTAACTTAATAAGTCCACTGCTAGTCAACTGAATACAATGGATTATGTAACCTGAACTTGGTGCCCTATCCTCCGTCCCATTCACCAAAAGTTCAGAGCTGTCAAGCACAAAACACAGACTAATTCAACGGACACTGTTAATAAAAGCAATGTACTAGAACTAGCCCTGTGTGTTATATTCCATAAATGTAGAAATCCAATTAAATTCTTATTGTATTGTTACTCTTTCCAATCAATGAATAATCTAATCTGTTCTATTCAAAGAGTATGCACTGAGTGTCATCACACATTTGGACTTCTGGAAATGTACTCTAAACTGAAGACTGTCAGCTTAAAGAAGAATACATCCTAGGTTTTGATAATTCTCAATTGTAAAAATCAAAGTTGAGCTTCTTATTCCATTTTTGTTTGTTTCTTTCTTTCTTTTGGTAACTGTTAAATGCTAGTGTTTACATGTTTTATAGCTAAAGCAATAATATTTCCTCACAACCAAGTTTTGGACTAAGTTAAAATCATGGTGACCTCCACCCACCCCACCCCTACCCATCCACTACCCCACCACACAAAGACAGACTTTTAAAGTGAGATGTCTACATATATTTTTCACTTTTTACATCAGTTCATGTTCAAAGGGAAGTTCTGTAGTTAGTTCTTAACGTGAGAACTAACGAGACAGCACAAACTTTCAACAGTGTCCGCAAAGACACAGGTCAATGCACTAGCACTGGACACTTGGGGCATCAAAGGCCAGGCACTGGAGTGGAAAATAACACAATTTATTTCGAAATTTCACCTAGGAGAAAGGTCAAATGACATGTCTTTCTTTAGCAATGATCTAGTTTATCCCTACCACATGCGAATACAAGGTTCAAAGGACACAGCTGGTGCATTTCAGACCATGCCCTCTGCCACTGCTCCCATTGCAGGTCTGACTTTATTAAAAATGTCAATTTGTTCATTAACTGGTCACTATAATTTTCTTCTTTGGGCCTGTAGATTCTAAGACCCTGGGGTCTTGAATGGCCCAAAGAAATTAGAAATGGGAATTAGCTCACACTTTGCCCTTTTGAGAAACAAATGATCATGCTACTGATGGATTCTACTGTACATAGGATTAGTTTCACACGTAATGAATATATTTCACAGATATTTATCCTTCCAACTGCCTTTTTTTAAACCAACTTACATCATCCACGGCATTAACGTCTGCACCACTATCTAACAACATCGTGGCAATAGTCACATGACCCTGTTGGCAGGCAACCATGAGGGGGGTCTGGTTGTTGTCATCCCTGTCATCAACAACGATCCCTGTGTTGAGGAGCAGATGAGCAACAGCATCCCCATCTCCCTTCTCCACCTGTTCAAACAGTAACTGCCTTCCCAGCACAAGCTGCGAGGCTGCCATATTGAGGTGTTGTACAAGAGTTCAGGGCCAAGAACACATTATTATCTGAAAATAGCAATAGTGTAAAGAGCAGTTTGAGAGCACAGACTTTAATCATGGAAAATGTCAATATAATATAACTAAATTTTAAAGCCCCTTTTTAAATGTAAGGATTCCTTGGGTTATCTCGAAATAATGACAATTAATCAAGAATTTTTTCAACCTTGAATACAACATGCTTATTTAAATTGCCTTTGTACACGCTCGGCTGTCACCTTGATTGGATAGTAAACGGTCGTCGTAAAATTGCTAAATGATATTAAAACCGGGTGCATAAACTTGAAAACCACCTAGGACAACCTTAGACTGCCACATTAATCCAATACAATGCAAAAATAAACTATAACAAGTGGTTAAAGCCTTCAAACCGAATGTCGTAAAGTCCCCATATACCTCCATAGAGACAATAAAATAGAGTCAGCTTGTGAAACAAAACTCAACCATTTTCAACATAATAATCAAAATAAAATACTGCCGGGCATCGGAGTGGCCTAAAACTTGGCACGCTTACCGCAAATACTGCAGGCTACATCACCCCGTCGCTCGTTTGTAAATTCCGTGCATGGTCAAACCGTAAATCAAAATTCCACCTCTGATGTTTATTTCGGTCCATTCTAACCTTCAATTCAGGAAATGACGTAACCGCAGAGGTCGTATTGTCCAATGGCATGGCTTCTTTTTCGTAATTGGAGGTTAGAGTGGACCGAAATAAACATCAGAGGTGGAATTTTGATTTACGGTTTGAAGGCTTTAACCACTTGTTATAGTTTATTTTTGCATTAATTGTATTGGATTAATGTGGCAGTCTAAGGTTGTCCTAGGTGGTTTTCAAGTTTATGCACCCGGTTTTAATATCATTTAGCAATTTTACGACGACCGTTTACTATCCAATCAAGGTGACAGCCGAGCGTGCCTTTGTACACTGTTTTATTGTTACTTGCTGGGCAAAATGAGGCAATTTGGCAAAATTCTTTATAGGGTAGTGACTGTGAAAGCCAGACAAGATGTGAGTTGGACAGCATTAAATCATATATGTAATATTAACTTAACAAGTTGTAGAAAAAAGCACGAATACATTCATTTGCAACATTTCCATTATCAAGATGATTTTTTATCTTATCAACTTTCAGCAAAAAAAAAGAAAAAAAAAAAAAATCATTCAAGTTACGCATTCAAGTTAATTCTAAACAAATTTATGACATTTGGAGGTTTATCTGCTGCAGGTAGAAATGAGTTACCATGTGATATCATAGCTGTAATGCCAAACACAGCACAGTTCCGAGCATGCACGATTTTTTCCTAGAATTTACGTTAATGTTACATTTGATTTTTCTAGCACTCACCTACATTTCAATATTCTTTAGTCCATTTCATTCTAAATATAAAATAACTGTCTAAGAAACTGAAAAAGCAGAAAGCATTCTGGTATTTTTAAGGTAACCCTGCCACATCGGTTCCCTAGACTTCTCATTCAGCCACGAGTGTATCATTCAGCAGGGTGACAACCTTCACTTCCTTACTTCTTATCACTGCGCATGTTTTTGTGCGCATTTATCCCACTTCCGGCTATTTCCGTTTTTGAGCACTGTTTTAGATGCATTGCTTGTTGATTTGGTTGCCTTGGCGTGTTTATATGCGAATTTATAGTTTTTCATCCACTTTAAACTGCATTGAAAGATGGGAACACGAGAACAATCAGTAGAAGCCTCTGAATGCGATGAGTTAGAACGGTGAGCTTGTTTTTCCTCTTTTCTCTCTCTTTCTCTCTCTTTTTAACAATACAAGGTCGATTTTGCCTTGATTGGTTAGGTAGTAATTATAGCCCTGTACATATGTAACTGGCTCTCCGAATCGCCAGAGGAACCGAAATGCAGCAAGGATTCTCTCAGGCATATCCCACTATATGTACTCCATTATTATGAGATCAAGTGTAGCGTACGTCTCAAAAAGTGTAAAGCTATCATTTACATTTGATTATTAGGTACGTTTGCAGTATCCCCCCCCCCCCTCAAAAGAAAAAAAAATTAAACAAATTAATTTAGAAAAGTTATTGAATACCACAGACTCACAGTTAAATGGTGGGGGGGGGGGGGTGATACTGCAAAAGCGCCAATTATTATTGTCAATGATACATAATTTTATAATAACTTTGATGATACATTAATGGATTCTAAATAATTTGGATATTATTTACAGGCTTGCCACCCAAGAACTGATGAATGAGGCTAAACGTGGAGCAGAAAGAGCCAAGGACTATGGATCATTTGGATGGTAAGTTTGCACTGAAGATTTAACACAGATACTAGTACATCTGATGTGATAAGTAAGTAACACCAAATTATAAGACTATGACAAAAATTTCCTTAAAAAAGACAATATATGCTTTAGATTTTGTCAAACTTAAATTTAAATCAAAACAAGTTAGTTTTTTAGTACTGTAATTATTATTTGTGATCAAGTTCATTCAACTATTTTGAAATGTCATTGACAAGGTGTAAATTCAGTATGCAAAACAATGCAAAAAAAAAAAAAAACAAACATATTTTGATATCATCAGCAAAATCCAAGAACATTATGTGGCTCAAACAAACCCAACAGATACATACTAGTATTGGGTTTCATACATACTGATATATACTGAGTACAAATTCTCTCTCAGGTTGAAATCCCATGTTCCCCCAGCCAACAAAAGGTTTCTGGCTAATACCCTGGTGTCCACTCTCCGAAACCCTCCTCACCTGAGACGATCAGATCAAAATGGTTACCGCAGATGGAGGCGACACAGCAGTGACAGTGAGGACAGTGACGAGAGGAGGAGACATCGCAGTAGAAGTCCAGGCCACAGGAGGGGACGCAGGGAAACTGATCACAGGGATGACCACAGGTAGTGGAGGCAAGATAGTGCTGCCAACAGAGAACTTGACATAATTACATAACCAAATTTAAGAACTGTCTCAGTCTGTCTGATTTTCGAAAAATTTTATCGGTGGCCACTGTTAACTTTCAAGGATAAACTAATTTTCATTAATGAAAGATGATTTGAAAAATTTTAAAACTCATCCTTTTTATCTAATGGATATTGTCCTTTTCTCTGCTTACTCATTGTATTTGAGATACCTGCTTATTTTTTACCTCCAATCGTCCTTTCAACTTTTATAGACTTTTGATTGATTAATTTGACAATCTTGAGTTAAAATATCACATGAAATGCTGACATCTGACAATTTTTTTTCATATTTATAGGGCAAAGAGGGAGAGAAAAAGAGATAAAGACAGAGAACTCAAAGACAGCAGTAATTGGAAAAAGGACAGCAAAAATAGGTCACATCATCAGAGGGAAAATGAAATGTCTCAAAATCTGGCAAATTCTCAAAAAGATCACAAACCCAAAGAAAGTTCATCTTCAGGAAAAACTGATTTGATCCCTGATTCAGAGAATGATAAGCTGCCATCCATTGTTTCCTTAAAAGACAACTTGGTTGATGAAAGTGGACTTGGTCACAAAGATCATAATTCTCAGGGAAGTCCAAGACAGAAAAACTCAAATGAGAAATCTGCATTTGATGATAAAGCAGACCATAGAGTAAAAATGGCTGAATTAGAAGAAGGACAGGGACAAATAGAAGAACACACCAAAAGTTCACTTCAAGAAGAAACTTCTCAGGTGACTGCAACTGATGCCGGAAGTAATGAGGTTATTTATACTGAGGTTGGCTTACAAAGTACAAATTCTTTATCTGGCTTGAGGGAAACTTGTTCTACAATGACTATAGAAAAGTCAGGTGATGGTGATGGAGCAACTAATGTTAAAACTTTGACACCCTCTGAGCAGTCAAGAAATAATAAAGACCTAGAAAGATCAGCAGCCACATCCAAAATCAACGAAGCAGAAGCAGTGTCAAAAAATAATGGTAAAGAAACTGATTCAGAAGTTTCTTCAAGTCAGCACAATATGGGGGTTTCTGAAAGTGTAATCAGTGAGGCAAAGAGTCATGATGTAGAGAAAAATGAAAGTGAAAGTGGAGGCAAGCAGAGAAGTGACAGTGGAAGAGGAAGCAAACATGGGAACACAGAAAATGTGGAAAATTCTAAGAAAAGAAAAGTGTCAAAAAACGACAAAAAAGAAATTGAAACTACTTCAAGTGATATGAAGGTCTCAGGAAAAGAAATCTGTGAGACTAAGGCTCATTTTGTTGATGGAAATAGAAATGAAAGTGGAAGTAAACAGAAAGATGGGGAAAATGTGGATGAATCTAGAAAAAGAAAACATAAACATAAGCAAAAACACAAACACAAAAAACATAAAAAAGCACAAACAAAAGCATAAGGGCAAGAAGCACATCAAGGAGGAACTTTGAATATTTTGATTGTAAAATAAAATGAAACAAATTGGAGACTAGGTAAAGCTCGAGCTACTGGGAAATGTACTTTACCCAGAAAAGTGAAGTATGACAGTAAAACAAAGAAAACCACTTTTAACCTTTTTATTTATGTTTCATTGAAATTGAAAGGAAAACAAGTTTCATGGAGTTTTAAAGCAAAAATTATGTTAAAAAACGAGTGCAAAGTGAAAAAATTGATTAAGTAAGATCAAATTCTATAGGAAAATGTTCTAGAGTGAAACAAGAATGTGAAAAATGTTTTGTGAATTGAAATAAAGCATTGAAATGGCATTCAATCTGGGATTAGGATACTTAAATGTACAAAGTTACTGTTTTTATAGTATGCTTGGTCATTAAGATCAGTGTTATAAGAAGTCTGAGTTTAATCTGTGAAGAAATAATTAAGACTAATTTTCACAGGTAGATAAGGTTCCATTTGTTGCCACAGGTTCTGACAAGTGTCGTTTTTTTTCTAGAGTGAGAGAATGTTTAAAAAAATGTTATAATAATTTCTCTTTCTTCTATGGCCCCATAGGTGTTTCATTATTTAGTGAATAAATAGAAAATGTGGAAACAATTGTTTGTGATTAGTTGATTAGTTTTTTTTTTTTTCAGTTTAAATGCAATGTATACTATATGTACGTAAAGGGGAGAAGAATGGGGTGCGTGACATATTTAAAAAATCAAGGCAAACGAAGAAAACTTCTATGTGCAAGAAGAAAAAAGTCTAAAATGCAGATTTTTGAAGTATTTTAAAAAGCTGGAAACAAAACATTCAGTTTGATATTTTGGGGGATGGGGGTGGAGGGCAATGATCAAGAACTATATTTCTCGCCCTCCCCACGCCCCCTCATATGCTCAGAATATGGTGCCAGAGCTATGTATCTTTTTTTTTTTTTTTGCCTTAGGTCACTGTCACATCTAGCGTAAGGCATCAACGCATGACAAAAATTGTCCATACGCTGACAAACACAACCGGTCCGTTAGACTTACGCCGTATATGTCTCGAGTACGCAGAAAAACGTTGGTGTACGTTCGCATGCCCGAGAGATAAAATGTTTTGAGCATGTTCAAAAACAATTCCATACGCCGCTTATATCTTCATTTTAATATGCTGGAAACAGGGTGATTTCATAGGCTCTAAGTTGTGCGTGTAATCGGTGTCACATACTATGTTCATACATACCTCTTTACGCTAGGTGTGACAGAGTCTTTAGGTATTTTTTTATGGGCAGTAACGCATATTACCTAAGTCATTGTCCTAGTGAACGTTTGTGTACTGATATGACTTGATATAATCTCCAGTGGAAACAGACTTGAAACGTTTTTGTTTCTTTTTATATTATCTTATTTATTTATCTACTTTGCATGTGAGATTTGTCAAGAAAAGTTGTAGCTGTCCATTTCTTTTTTGGTACATTTTCAGTGGAACAACATCCAAAGTGTCTGATACGATGGCGTGTCATCTGTCTGTTCATTTCTTTGTTTATTTTCACACTTATTTTATTCCCAAAAGGCCAACTGACCGATCCAATGGTGGATCAAGGGTTGGGGATGTATAGTATTTTTTGTTAAAACAAACTCGGCTAGATCTATAAAAAGCAAACGACCTGTCGTCCCTGTGCCTTCCCTCTTACGGTAAAACCGCCCCTTGTACTACAGTATGCTATTTCGTGCTGACAGAGCGAAGAGAAGAAAATACATATTCTTACAGGTTTGCTGAGTTACAGTAGTTGAAATATGCTCAGACACACCAAGGAACTTCCTACATGAAGAAGCATAGTGCTCACGCGAATTGCGAAATTTGTTCACATACATACTCGACCCTTTAATTGATAGTGTTTTCATTATACGATATTCTGGTAAAAAACAGAGTGTTTGGTGTTAAAAAAGCGTTTATTCTTATATACATTGCAAATGGTAATTCAAGTTGACAAAGTTTCAGTTCATTTCATCATTCTCCGTTTCCATGGAATATTTTCTGAACATCTACTCGTCACTTCCGAACCATTTATCTGAAAAAAGAAAGAAAAGAAATTTAATCAGCTATCAGTGAAGTGTCCATTAAGCATCCCTCCCGTAACATAGGATTTATTTTTTCCGATGAGAACAAATAAAATAAAATCGAAAAGAGTTCGCAACATCTCTCAAATTTGTCAAGATGTCAATGTGCTTGTTTTTGTTTTTGTTTTTGGGTCACCTGTAAACTGTCGTCTGATGGCAAATGCCATCTACCTAATTTTTTCATATTCAGACTTTTTTTGCTAAGAACTTGGTATTTCAAACTCAATAATATTTTCGTTTTTGTGGTTGATGCACTTCAGCAAAACGTCAAATATCGTCATTACTTATTTAACATTATATTAAATGCTAAGTCAAAATTCTTAATATTACTTTGTCCAGAAATATTTCAGCTCGTAAGTTAACACCGTTTTTATAAATATTTTGGCCTAAAAACATTTTGGAACCCAAAATTGCTTTTTTTCGAATAAACTTATTGTCAATAACTAAGCCAAATCATATCTAATAAAACATTCATAAACACATAATTATAATCCCAATATAGCCCAACATTAGGCGAAAATTTAGGCACCAAACCCGATTAAAAAGTAAACGAAGCTTACCTTCAATGATATAAAAAGGGCAGTTTAGCCTTTGTAACCGTGTCTGTAACCACCATAGTAACCGCTTCTGTAGCCACCACGGTATCCATAGCCACCATATCCTCTGTATCCGTAGCCACCATATCCTCTGTATCCACCATATCCACCACGGTAAACGCCACGGTAGCCGTAGCCACCATAGCCTCTAGCCACACCGTAGCCGTGACCGTACTTCTGGCCGAAGGCAAGGCCGAGGATAAGGATGAGGCAGAACAATTGCTTCAGCATGTTGAAATGGTGCGTAGATACCGTTGTCAGCAGCAAAGGTGAATACAGTTTGCTTGAAAAATATCGCCGCCTTTTATAGCACAGCGAAGAGTGTGACTGTCTTCGATTAAACGTTGAGATTATCTTTTTCTTTTATTTCTAATTGCTTTTGGACATCAAACGTGACAGCATGAAATGTGACTCTGCACGAAAATAGATAATTGATTGCCAAAGGCATTGACATTGACAAGGGAAGGAAGGTTTTTATAGTGCCCCCCCCTCCAGTTACCAAAACGTCCCATTGGATATTTTTAAAAGTATTTTTGAGTTCCTGTATATTAATCAAGATGATTAATGATTTTAATGGACAGGCCTGGACAGGACAGGCCTATGTGCCTGGACGTACCGGCACAGCCATTACAGTGCACTTGTTACTAGCCAGCACCATATAACGAAAATTAGTTATAGTTCTCAAACTCACGGACTGACTTACAGATTGAGTTCGAATGAATTATAGTTCGATAAGTTATGAATTTTTTCGTTTTCTAATTTTTTTGTTTTCACAATGTTGCTTTTTCCAGGTGTTAATTAATGAGTCTTATATTGTGGTGTAGCGATTGTTCAGGGCCTGTGAAACAGGTATATATTATGACTAGTAGGTTATTCTACATTATAGGCAGTTTCATTGGTACACCGGTGAAAATTATAACATATGAAGTGATGCTTGAAAATATTTGCTTTCTTTCGGCTGCGATTTGTGCATTGCTAGCGCCATCGTCAATAAGATGAATTTTGAAATAAAAGTGTTCCATCACACATCGTGCATACGGTATCAGAAGGGGTTGACATAATTATAAGTAAACAAAATGACGAAAAAAGTGTTGTTTAAAAAGGATTATTTTGTTCTCTTATAAAAGGCGATTTCGTTGTATCGCAAAATTAAAGCATCTTTTCTTCGACGGACTAATCTATTCGTAACTCACAATCTTTTATTTTTCAAAAACAACAAATATTAAGTGTCCCGTTCGTTTTCTAAGTAAAAGACAACTTTTATAATGCAATTTTTCTTGAATTCAAGATGCAACTTTTCAAAATGATTCCTGGTCAGATTGTTGATGAACATGTTTCAAGGTAACAAAATATTCAGAAAGCCGGAGACACATTGCATACATGAATATTGTTGATCAGGCCAATATTTACCGTTTTCTTGCACAATAATAATAATAATAATAATAATAATAATAATAATAATAATAATTTCTTTATTTATTTATTTATTTATTTATTTATTTATTTATAGTCTAAAATCCAACGTATGTTCAATAGACTTTACAGAATTTATAAAATTCACAATTAAAAAGAAAAAAATTACTAATGGTTATAAGATGAATAGAAGGAAAATGATAGTAAAAAAAATGTTAAAGGTAAAAAATAGATACATATAAAATGGATAATAGATTGATGGCATCATTATCATCATGCATGTGGAGGCAGCTGCAGCACATATTGAAACCCTATTCTATCCCTCTCATTTAATTCCTTTTAACTCCAGTAGGCTCGGAGCACTGATGGAGTGTATCTTAGCTATTAGATGGAATAGAAGTAGCAATAGCTTGCTTATAAACCAAACTTAGGAGCGGGGAACAACGTTTTAAGTGTCTACATAATTGCCAAATATTTATCTGATATAGAATATTCTCTTCAATAACTTATGGCTTTCAACAAAAGAGAAAGTAGGAACAGTCTTTTTAGCAAGATGGTACATTGCATAATATTGCCTTCTTAATATATGCCATCAAAACACTTAAAGAGACAATTCACAGAATACTAGCGCCTTTAAACACAATATCCACATTTTCTGGATATCTTCATTAACTTTCGAGTGCACACTGTCTGTCAATCTAAGCCAAAATTTTCATAAATATGCTGTTACGTGTAAGCCCCTTTCGTCAATAAACTAACCTAAATGAACAGCAACACGTATTCCTTTCATTCTCTTTTCAATGTAAAAATAGCCATATTGATCAAAGCATACTTCCGTTACCTAATAACAATTATAATGATGCTATCAGTGACAAAAACAGTGGTCTATAAAGTACGGCTTTTCAGCCATTGGCCTTCATGTACCATCCCTTTATTTAAGAGCCAAATGTAAACAAAACAGTTCTAGCAAAACGTTTGCAGTTGATGTATCTCAAAATAAATACATGTAGGGCCTACCTACTTATTTTGCTGAAGGGGTGGGTCTAACAGTCGAGGGCAGATGAACTATTTTATCAAAAGAGAGAGAGAGAGGGGGGACTGGTATTTGGATATCATTTATTGTTTTGGAAAACGATTTGTCTACAAAACACTTTAGTTTTCATGTTGATGCTCATCTTTTTTTTTTTTATTACGAGATGTTGATCAGTGAGTTGGAATTTCAACTTCTCAAAACGCGTGCACAGGGGTCATCATTCCGATATGTCAACGGAGTCGTTATGTAATTCATTTTCTTATCTTTAAAAACTTTTTATTATAAATCAAATATTACAATGCAGACATTGAAATACTACTGTAACACACGAAACTCGTGACTTGAGATTGATGGCTGTGCTCGTACGAATGACATGCAAAGTGAAGTTGGAGTGCAAAGTTCTAGTCCAATGTGCTACACGTAACAAATAAAGTTTTCAACTAACCAGGCCTAACTGAGTAGTTTGTTCTTCCACTTTTATATACCTTGTTGTAACTTGGCGGAATAGGTGTGTGTTCGCATTATATACTCCCCACGAAAAAGGAGACTATGTTCGAGGTGGCATTGCGGCGATCATTCATTTGTTTGTTTAATAATAGAGAAAGCAAAATAGGTTCGAGATAAGTAGAGGACTTATATGATGGCATTAAAATAGGTGTTGGGGCTTCGTAAAAAGGTAAAAAGGTAATTGATTTACTGCGTAAATGACGATTGTCAATGTTGGGTAGCATCCCACAGTTCGGGTAATTTTTTTTCTAAATCAGTTTTCTTTTCATTTTGAAGTAAGTCGGAGGTCGTTTTATATATTCGAACATAAAATTGTAAGTTTCATGAATTATCTACAAAAATATGCCGAGTGTTGGAGTGTGATGATACTTTGTCTACTGCGCTGAGGCTTGGAATCAACAAGAATCCGAGACTGAAGTATCTACTGCTTTTTTTGTGCGGGAAAGTAAAACACGCTTTCCAAAACACAATCGATATCCTGACGGAAACAATATTTTGATTTGTCAATAAATTATTTGCCTGCAGGTGCTTGCATGTTCGTTAAATGAAATGAAAATTGACATGCAGGTAAATCGGTGCCGCTTTCAGGCACAGTGAGTGTCAGCTCCTTTATGTCAAATCCTTTGCATTTGACGCTTACCGGACACGTGGAATTTTCTGACTGAAGCCTC